CTCAACTTTCCTTTACATTAGGTCAACTCTTTATGACATTTACACACACTACTATTACATTGCGACAACTTTCTTTTACATTATGTTAACTTCTCTTTGTGACATTATGTCAAAAGATTTTTACGTGGTGTTAAGATACATTTATATAATTTCAACTCAGTATTACATTATGTGCACTCTCTACTATTTGGTCTAAGTAGTTCATTACCTGATGTGAATTTATCTTAATTTGATATCAAGTCGCTATAATACGATGTCAGAATTTCATTACATGATGTCAAAAAATTGTCACATGTAGTGAATTCTTCTACTACATTTAATATGTCATCAATATGCTACATGACGCCGTGAATCAATTTCATGATGTGAATTTGCCCTTACTTTTTAACAAATCGTTATTACGTTATGTCATTGTGTCTTTACATTAATTGTGTCAAAAATGCTCAGCCTCTTGTCAGCATACGTGTATCTTTGGCTATTTCATATTGATCAGATGTGGAAAACTCATGTTATACTGTGCGCACTCTTCTACATTATGTCGATTCACTATTACGTTATGCGAACACGGGTGTCCTCGGCCTTTATATGCGCATAACGTATTTTCCGCGTTCCGCAGGCACTAAAAATGGCGGGAAAGAAAACAGTCACAGAAGAAATTCTCGGCGATTTGGGAATGGCATATTTAAATGAAAACGTAAAGCGACAAATGATTGACAATCTTGAAACGTGCAGCCAAGGCCTTCACACTGCGACTTTGAATTAATTTCAATGGCGTTTACTTTAATTTAATCTGATAATTAGATAAATCAAATATTATGAGTCGAGCAGCTTTTTTTTATTTTCATATTGAATTGTTTTTTTATATATAAGTCTTAAAATTCTTATCTTATTAAGAACATTGTCATATATTTTTTATCAGTCTCTACCTCTCCTTTTTATTTTAAAAAGTGTTAACACACCGTATAACAAACGTGCAACGGTGGTTTTGGGGTTGGGGGCAGGAATCCCGTCCTTCCATCTTTAGTGACCAAAATATACATAGGATTAATAAATTCATTGGTTTTACTTTGTAGGACATTGCTTAAGATTAGCTGAATTAAGAGTTGAAAACCTTTTTTTCTATAAAACTATAAAGTCTAAGAGCCCCCCCCCCCCCCTTGGTCTCCAACTATACACCGCCCCCCTTCCTTGTTCAAGATTCCCATGTCCGCCACTGATATGTGCCCATGCATGCTTGCTAAGGCATATTCAACTCATTTAGACTGATATATAGATTTTTGTAATAGAATTCTGGCACTGGAATTGTTGAAAAAATTACTAATTCCAGTGACGCAGCATCTTCTTTGAAAGGGGAAGCAGGCGCGGATCCAGAAATTGAAGTAAGAGGGGGCGCCAAAAATAGGCAAGGCGCCTTGAGGCCCCCAGTGGGTCCAGGGCAAAGCATTGGTGGGGGCCCAGGGATCGAAGCTCCCGGAAGCTCCAGGGTTCTAGAGATTTTGTAGGGTAAAAATGAGGTCTACCAAGTAGACATATTGACATTTTCTAGACGAAACTGTGATTTACGTTAACTTTGACAATTTTAGGGGGGGCGCTCGCCGGATGCGCCCCCCCCTTAAATCCGCCACTGGGAGGTCAGCAAGAAAAAAAAAATTCTACTCGAAACAAAAAACAGTCCTAATTTTTTTTTTCAAGTATTCTACATTACCCGTAGTGGACTATACTTCAAGAAAAAGTGGGGATGGGGCTGTACTTTCCATGAACATTACATTTCCTATAGTAAAGTTATATATGGGAAAAGAGGGGGGGGCTGATATTATGTGCCTGAAATTCGTCCTAATCAATGAGGAGCCCCCCCCCTTTCTCTTACCAGTCATTAATACACGGATATACAGCTTTGAGATAATGAAAATGTATTTTTACATCAGGTAATGAACTATTGGAATCAATATGATGAAGAGTTAACACAATATAAAGATGTTTTTAAATCACATTAGAAAAGGTTGACATAACGTAATTATATATCCACATCACGGAATGGAGTTTTGACATAATGTAATAAAGTGTTGATATAATATAAAGATATGTTCACATTATGTTATACACTTTTTACACCACGTAATAAAGCAATGACATGAAGGTAAGATGTGTTCACCTAGCATCATGATGCTCCCGACGTATGAAAAAGATAAATCCATATCACGTAATAATGCTTCGATATAATAAAAATATACACTCTCAAAAAGGAATGGATTTTTGACTTCATGTAATGATAAGTTTAATTATAAAACACAATTTGCTTGACGTAATGCAATTTTGACCTCGCATATTAAAGAAATGAAATGATGTAAAGAAACATTCATTTCAAGTAATAAAGTTTTAACACAATGTAAACACATAATCACTTAACAAAATGGATTTTTTACTTCAAGTTATGAAGTACTGACATAATAAAAGAATGTATTTACTTCATGTAATGCAGCATTGACATGATGTTATGATATTTTCACATCATATCATAAAAATGACATAACGTAAAGATATGTTCACATCACGTAATGATAAATTGACATAATAAATGCATAGTTGTATGCTATAAGGCAGTGATGGCGTTCCATAATAGGGTTTTATCACTAGGACTCAGTAGACGGTGATTTGTTTTCAAATATGTCTTCATGGTCATTTTTAAAGCTTCATTTAATTTTCCAATTAATGTTTACAAAATTTGTGGATATTCGTTTCCATTCATTATTATTTAACATCCATTCTATTGCCTCCGACTTAAACGTATTTTCGTTTTAATTTCTTAACTTAGGCCTAACTTTCATAATGACAAAAAATCAAATTCAAATTTTTTATGAAATGGTTCTACATTGCTTAAATATTTTCTTCATACATGTCTTATATGTAAAATGTTTAAAGAGTGAGATTCATAATTTGAAATAATGACGATCAAAATTGATGTTTGATAAAACTGTTGTTGACGTTACAATTAAAACACACACCAAACATACAAAAACAATCCATTCAAGGTTTATTCCTTTCAAGAGAACAAGAATTGCAAGAAGTATGATCCCCTGAAAAAAAATAATAACACAATAAAAAATACACTTTATGGTTTTAAATCAGTACAAATGTTTTATGTAAAATTCATCAAATAAATGTAGCTATGTACATACTGTACTTAGTAAAAGCTTTTAAAAAAGCTAAGGCTACCAAAAACCATTTCAAATAATATAATAAATACACACACAAGATTTTTTTGAAAAGTTTTAAAGCAAAACGAGTCTTAACACTTCTCATTAATCAATTGCCATTAAGTGTTAAGTGCGACACTGTTAATCATGAATGTCCATTTTTCTCCAATACTATTTGCAAAATATGCAAACATCTTGCTTACGTGGTCACTATTTCTACTTATATGCAAAGACATTAATTATTTTTAACTGCATGAGGATCTAATTTTTTATTTTGTTTTACTTTTTACTAACTCTACTTATTGTCACGAGGAAATATACTACGAGATGGTTCTTTCTTTTTCTATTTTGGCCACTTCCGGTGCTTCCTGCGCGCTGTTTTCCTTCAAGTGGTCGAGGTAAGTAGTTCCTTACAGGAAATCATGAAAAAAAAATAAGAGTTATAACCCAATATTTTGAGTTTGAATTTTATTCTCTCTCTGAAGATTTTTCAAATTAGTTGCCTTTTAAGATTTTATAAGTTGCAAATAATAGATATTTTCAAAGTTAAAAAGTCATGATTGAAGTTGGCATAAAATAATTACAAAAGAAATACATGACTCTGTACCTCCGTATTTCGTGTTCATCTGGTCACAGGCATTATTGTATGCACCCGACAAATAATACTCCTGAAAGGCGGTTGAAGTATGAAGCTTTGCTTACGTTTTCGGAAATGAATATTAAAATTCTGCATTTGAAATTTGTTCAATAATTTAAAACAGTTATTCCTTATGATACAGAAATATCTCAATTTTCATAGTTTGACGGAATGGGTTGAAAAGTAATTTATATAAAAAAAAATATTGGCAATAGAAAATACATGTAGTAACCAAAATTTAAACATAGTTCAGATCTGAATGAGTCGATTGACTATAAAATGGTTCTCATTATTAAACTCTGGTAAGATAATTCATTTGATTGTATGGAATAATTTCTATGGAATGTTTTATCTCTATCATAGGGTAATTACAGCTAAATTAGAAGAAGGGTTGTTTTTCCTTTAATATTCGTGGAGCTACTCTGATTTGCTTTTGTTTTCCTTTTCCAGCCAATTCTGATCGCATGCTGCTCATTTTTAAACTTAAATTGGAAAATGCCATCAATTTCACGAAGATAAGTCATAATCCACACATTCCTGGTAGTTTGTTTTTTGTATCCATCATCAATTTAAATGTTATTTGAAAATAATATTCTTGCGCATATATGGATTTTCTTAGATATAAGAAATTTATTACCTGTGTAAAGATGTAAAAGTTTTGCTATTTGCAAACCTCTCTGCTGTCTGTATTATACGGTTAGGAGAGGGAATATCCTTTTTTACATTTACATGTATCTTCACTAACTGTTAAGAAAAATATTCTAGCGATTCTATTGATATTTTTTCCTCCTTGTCTGATTAAATAGTATTTCTTCAGCGATTCTTTGGAAAGAATTTTGCAGAGAAACTTTATTTAGATATAAAGACTTCCAATTTTCTACTTTATCACTTTTTTCTAGACTTGTATCATGTTGTAAATTTTGCATTTAATGAATGGAGGTAAATGCATATTTTACTACACGATCGTAATTATGTTTGAATGCTTTAATGGATTCTGTGTTAATTCTGTTTACTTTTTGAAATTTAGAATTATTAGATTATGCATTTAGGGACTAATGTCAGGTCAGTGTCATGTTCTATGTACGATTTCTTAATATAGATATAATTATATTGTTATATATTATATCTATTTTGATAGTTCTGCATATTTATTTCAGACAATAATTTTGTTACAATTTAAATCCAGTGAATGATGACCAGTCAGCATAAGCATACAATCCAAACGAACCATCTGTTCTTATCCAAACTTCGTCTTTCCTCTTCATTTTTATTACAGCTGATGAAGTTCCGGACGCCCAGTGAGAACTGCCTGACACTCCATTGACATGATTATAACCAATAATTTTACCGTTGAGAACAATTTCAGTGTGGAATTGTTTTCCACCCTTTGTTACATTGGTCCACATAAATGAGAACAGACCATCTTCAGGCGCTGTGAATTTACAGGTGTTTGTGTTATAGGCATTTCCAGTTTTATGTTACTTTCCCATAAACAACAACAACGTAGTTACCATGAAAAGCGATGTTTTCTATCAAAACAAATAATGAAGATAGCCATGTAAGTGTACTTTAAAACAGAGGATTAAATCTTAGATTATTTTTATTTTTTGCATTTTGCTTTTTTGATATTTTTGTAATCATGAAAAAATGAATGGCATAATTTTCTTTTTTATTGAAAACAGCTCTCTGACTTCACTTTATCTATCGTCAGCTTCCATCAAAGCAATATACCCTTATCATCTCCATATGTAGTTTGTGTCTCCCAGTTGATTCGATACGTAAAATCAAGCTCTACGTTCGACCTTTTTTTTAAAAACGAGGCAAGCAATGGACAAGCAAGTTGACTAAAAAGAATATCAAAAGCCTTGTTAAACATAATCATTTTACAGGTTCTATGGTCGATGTAACCAAGCCGGCTTTGAGCCAGCACATAGATATATTTAGATATTTTAAATTTGCGATTGTTTTAAAGGACATTTATTGTTACATTTTTAATTTATTCATTCTGAAAGCCATAAGTAAAAGTATTTGAAGATAACGCAATCAAATAATTTGCTTTATACATCACTATCGTACTATACGAACATAAAATTTTGATTTATATAAGTAATACACAAACTATAATGCTTAAAACCAACAATAACAATACAAAAATAGGAGAAGAGAAAACACGGACCTCCAAAACATTGGAGGTGGGATCAGGTGCCATGAAGGAGTGAGTATCCTCTGCCGACCGTTCACATCCGCCGTGTGCTCCTTGTCATGATCGGGAAATAACGCGAAAATCTGTGGTGAATTCATTGTGTAAATAATGTACTAACAATTAGTATAAAAAACGTCAGTCAGCATTTGAATCAGCGATAAATTGTATTAGCTGATACGGTTATTTTATCGACCATAGTACTTATGCAATGGTGACTTTAAACGAGACTGCTGATATTCTTGTTTCATCAACTTGCTTGTCAATAGTTTACTCGTTTCAGAAATCGTTCTTACTTAGAGCATGTTATTGCTTATCGAATCAACTGAGATATATACACACTACTATTACACAGAGTACCATCTATGAAAAACTGACCAATATACAAGGAAAGCAACAAAGAATTATGTGGCTATTTAAAAGTTTCATCAATCTGACAAGTAAAATAAATCTGTTCGTGAGAAATATAGAGAGATATCAAACGAAATAATGGAAAGCTAAAAAGCAATGACCCAGTCCTGTTTTTCAGTCCGATCTACATGTAATGAAATATACACTTAACAAAACTTCTAAGTGTTCACTTTAATAAATGCATTTATTTTAAAACTACTTTATAGAATGGTATGATATTTTCAAATTATTACAACAAATGAGTCTTCTCAACAATTGTAGAAAGAAAATAAAATATCACTGATGAAAACCAATGTTCCGTGACGAAGATTAAAAACAATAAATCTGTAATTTGCGGCACGTGCTTTGTGTAATTAGCATCATTTTGTGATGATTATCAAATTTTAAAAACTGGTTTCACTAAAAAACACAAAACATTGGCAAAATGACCACTGATATAGAAGGGAGAGCCGTTGGAACGTTGATATCTGGACCATCCTTTCACCACGTTTTACTCACTTTTACTTTAGTGTTTAATTTCTTTTATATTACTTTTAAAAATTAACAACCAATATCGAAACCCATTTAAACACATTTTTCTATAGGCTGTGCGTCATTTTACATCGCCAATTTATCACAATTTGGAAGTTTCGGACAAAATTTAACCAAACCAGAAGTGACCTTGATCTTCATCTAAGGCCAAAATTTTGCATCACACCAGGTTAAAAAAGTATTAAAATGTCCTGAAACAATCTTAGAAATATGAAAATAAACAATTTCAATCGTATGAAAATGATAAGAAATCGGTGCTCGTGGCAGTCTAACATCAGCTTAAGCAGTCTGAATCATCCTTAAAGCGGTGCACTTACGTGCTAAACATCCTAGGATATTGACCTAAAGGCATCTATGTGATGATGCACTGCCAGATTCCCGGATCTGAATCTCATTGAACACATTTGGGATTTTTATTAGGAATGTCAAAGCCCCCCCCCTCCAAACAATTTCAACGGTTTAGAAAGCTCTATGCAGTAAGTGTGGCAGCAGATGGGTCAATCCCCTATTCAGGGGTACCTGGTATCCGAGAGTAAAGATTGTCTTGTAGTAATTAGAGCGAGTGGAGGTCTTACTCCATAGAGATTTCTTGTGTGAATTTTCATTTTGAGGGTACATCATTTCCTTGACACTTTGCTTAAAATTCTGACGAGATACTTACATGAAATTTACGCAACATCGAACTTAAATGTTTATGATTAACCATGAATTAAAGAAAGTATTTATTGTATGCATTTGCTCTTTAAAACTTAAAAAATGTTAGATGAACACTTAGAAGTTTGGTTCAGTATATACTTATTCAGCCCCGCCCTACCACAAGAACCCCTGACCCCAGGGCCATGAATTTCACAATTTTGTTAGAGGACTCAATGCTGATTACAATCATGCCAACAGTATGACTGCTTGATGTCCAGGAGTAAAGAAGAAGATTTTTAAAGATTGCATTAATTTTAGTGGTGTTGGCCCCACCCCCAGGCCCCAGGGGGGTAGGGATCATGAAATTCGCAATTTTTGTTTCCCTTCACCCATAGATGCTTTGTGCCAAATTTGGTTGAAATTGGTTCAGTGGTTGCAGAGAAGAAGCTGAAAATGTTCAAAAGTTTACGACCGATTGACGACGAACGACGTACGACGACGGACGAAAACAGAGAGCAATAGGTCACCTGAGTGACTCAGGTGACCTAACAAGATGTATTGTGAGCAATGATTCACTAAATACCTCCCGCCTCCCATAAATGTATGAATATTATGTCAAAATCCATGTTTTGTTCTGAGAAACCCGAAATAAGTGTCAGATTAGTGAAAGGAAAATAGGTGGTACACTATGGCATTTTTTACAAAAAAAAAATGTGTTAAAGTATCATCAAATTTTATTCGGTTGCACAGAATGAGCTCCTGATGAGAGACGAGCACCCTTCAATATCACAAAAGGAAGGTAGTGTCCATGTTTTGCTATGGACAACACAAAATATGTGTTGAACAGACAGAGGGACAAACATAAGGCTAGACGGACGGTCGGACAGACAAACACACGGCCTAACCTCCTTTGAGCAAGTAAGAAAAAAACAATTATAGACTTATGTAACTCTTCTTCTATTAATTGATATCTGAAGTATAAACATAAGGAATTTATCGCAAGTTTGATTAATAATGGAATATATTTAAGTACTCTTACTTGCTTTACACAATATTAATGCATAAATGACATTGTCAATTCGATTTTAGGGAAAATCCTTATTCATTTGGAAAATGATAATATTTCACGAATTTTATTATGATTTACGTTAAGCTTGTTAAATTAGAAAAATATCTTTAAAATCGAACCTATCTTAATAGTTCACAAATAATATTTCTAAGAATGTTACAACAAGATACTTTGAAAGACTATACTGACCTTTCTGGAATATATTTAATAGACCTATCAACTTCATACCAAATTCCATGATAGATATTTCAGTTTTCTTTTGTTCTTCATCACTGTTATTTTTGGCTTCATTCATCATTCTTTGCACGTGCACATCTGAGAGGTAAAATAACTATCGTATGACTAATTTAATAAGCTAAGATCTGGATATCACAGAGAATAACATTTTATTCATTTAAAAACATAAATATAAATTTAATAAAATCTTCAGTTATAGTACAAGTTGTGTTCAGAACGTGTTCCGAACGAGTTAAAAAACTTCCAGTAGACTTCCTCAAGTTTTTCTTGCACGCTGCCACTGTTCTGATAATGTACAGATCACGTGGTCCAAAAGAAACACGAAAACGGTTTTAAAACATATTGGAAAGAGCAGTCTAACATCTTCCTCGACCTTATATTTCGTACACATCAGGTTATTCTTTTAAAAGGAAAATAAACCATATTCCAGAATTTGCCCAATTTTGAAAAAGAAAAGTGGAATTTAGATTTCTTTATCAAATTTTAGCACGGTGTACAAAACAGTGCGATCACCTGTCTTTATATAAAAGGTGAACAAAAGAACATTGATTAATTTTAAACAAAATCTTTAAAGAATACATAGATGTAAATATGACATAAATAGGGATCCCTGGAAACTCAGGAGATGGGTGCCTATGAGGAATAAGCGTTCCACGTTGATCGATCAAATCTACCATGAGTCCTAAGTATTGAAGTAGGTAGACAGAACCTTCTCATTAAATGATATCAGTAAGAATTTACTGTATAATGGGTTATTTTTGCCCTGTGTTATTATCACCGTTTCACACTTGCAAACAAAGGGGGCAAAATAAGACGGGGGTGAAAATTTCTCTGTACACAGTATTGATGGAGGTAAACATAACTTCTCTTGTCGAATTCGTATTGTATCTCCTGTTAACGAAATGTGTACGTTTTTTTCCTTTAATCAAATCTGATTTGTAAACGATCTTTAAAAGTAACTAATATATGAGGGGTTTTTTTGAAAATTTCGTCCATTGTTTCTCTTATTTTAACTATGAATTCTAATGTTGGACTAAAAATATAATTTGTTCTGTTTACAATTACATCAACACTTAAAAGGCATACACGACAAGTAATAGAGTTAGTTCATATGAATCTCGATATGGAAGTGTTTTGGGGAGTTGGGTTATACATGTGATTTGAAATTTAAAAATTATTAATTTAACGAAATAGAGCACACAGCTTGTGTTACCCGTCGACATCGGCGGTTCCTCCATCAATGGCACTGATTTTTTTCCTCTGAAGTTTTAGAGGTTCGAGTTTGCTCTTCTACAAATTGCAGTACTTTCAATGGACTTCTGAGTGAACTTCATTATTTTTTTTTATCTCCATAAAATTGTCATTGGTCTCATTGTTTTATTTTTTAAGTTATTATTTATTTTAATAAATACTCTATAAACTGTTGTTTTGAGTGAAGATGCAGTAAAATGATAAAATTGACACCTTAAAATTATAAAGATATACTAAGTCATTTTTTAACATTAATCTTACCGTGTGTTCAGATATGCTTCTTTTATATGCTCTTCACTACCAACTCCACTGGAGTTAAATACCCAAGCCAGGTATCAATGCGTATCAGATAACACAGCGTTTGGTATTGCTCATTAAACAAATTAATAGTACATTTTGCTAACACCTAAGGTATTTTGTCGTCCATCAGAAAACAATTGACCCGTTGATTTACCAATCGTATTGAAGGTTGCTGAATATTTTATTGTTGAATGTACTTTTGACTTTGATTACTCCAAAGGGACAGGTGCGTAGGAGAAGTAAGAATGAAAAGCGAACATAAAAAATAATTGAGTTCTATAACTTTCTGCATAAAAAAAATAAACGCTTACTGTCCCGCAAGTTTGATCACTTTCACCAGCTTACGTGGATAGTTACATTAAAACTCTTTATAAAAACAAGGAGAGATTCGCCATCGAAAGGTTTATTTCAATGTGCAAATAAAACTTTTGGTTTTGCGAAGATTGCATGGTCACTTTTGCCCAGACCAAAACTGCAATTCTTGCTTGATTCCTGCACCTCAAGATTAGTTTCAGTTTCTGTAGAGGGTCATCTGTTTCAATCATGTTTTCAATCTACCTGCTTAATGTTGAAGATTACACTGAGTTGTCCACGGATTCCACCCCCCTCCCCTTTGCAAGACAATGATTAAAGTATTAAATATATGCTTGCAGACTGGGGGCCTTGAATTTTCAGCTTTTTTTGAAGGTTGCTTGTTAGTTACCCTGTCCGAAACAGGGAGCGAGAACAGCGGTTAAGGAATCTTGGAGTCAAGTTTTTGGAAAAGTTTTATTTTATTTATATGCCTTAGTCGCAGTTTTCTCTTGATTTGTGTTATTGATAAAATATTTTTTATTTTCTCATTCAATGTGCAGATATTTTCAAATTTTATATAAAGCAAGTTAAAATTAACATACACATTACAAACAAATCTTTTCTCTCCTGTACAGTCATATGAATATTGAATATACATTGTTGAGAAATCTTGAAAGCTCTAAAAGGATTGTGTACCTTCTTTTTGAACAAAAATTAGGAAATGTGTGAAGAGAGTTTTGTTTCATCACTTCTTTTTAAATAAAGATTCACCTTATGAACGTTAAACTTGCCATTTTTATAC